CAGAAAACAAAGCCTCGCTCATTACAAGCTCTTCTTAAATAGCTTTTTCCAAAAGAAGGAATGCAGGGAAAAAGCCCTAAGTGGACACTGTCCTATCTACCTTACACAGAATTAGCTAGCATACCACATGCTGTGTTGTGGGAGAGAGGAGGAAGGGATCCTTAAGCAACTGAGGGGAGGGAGAGGGGCACAGGGAAGCCAACAGACCCTGCTCTGCCTGCAAGTCTCTGCCAGAGCTGCACCCACGGAGCAGAGAGCTCCGTCCAACCCAGAGAGCATGCTGGGGGTGTCTGGTTTAGCTTAAACCAGCAAAGGGTCTGGGACAGACATTGCATAAACCAGTTTGACCCAAATCAGTTAAGTCTGATACTACGTTCAACCAGGTTTATCTCAAATCTGTTTCAGCCATATTCAAACTGGTTTATGTGCACTGAACATCTGTTCTGTTACAGGTTTACACCAGTTTCTGATCACTTAAACTGGTTTATGTGTAATGTCTGTCCCTAGCCTAAGGGTTTCTTATATTCTCCTCTGAAATGTCTATTGCTGGCCACTAACAGTGACAGGACACTGGACTGAACAGAGTTCCTGGGTTATGATACATTTCCATGTTCCAAAGGCCTACACACTAGCCAGCTCTTTGTCTCCTCTTAATTTGTCATAACGGATTTCCAACTGTTTTTGTAAAACTCTACTTCCAGTCTTTAAAGGAGCTGCAATGTATATGATTAGTTGTTACAAGGGAAGGGGTCTTCTCTCTGGAGACTGGACTTTTTGACAGCTCAGCTGGGGAAGCATATTCTTAGGTTTGGAATTCATGTATTTTAGACTCCTTAACAATTCAACAACAGACAAAACATGGGGCTGACTACTCCTTCTTTCAGGGAAAACTCTTACTCAGGGATTTCAACTTACCTTTACATAAAGAACTCAAAGCAATCTTAACTAAAGCCACAGACAATGCCTCCATAATGATCTGCTTACCATACACCAAAGTTAGTAATCATGTCACTCTAAAATACAGGCCTTTGTCATAAATACTTTTCAGAAACTAAAGTGGGAAAAACCTTTAAAATCCTTAGATAACTAAACCTGTGGCCCTCAAGCTTCTAAGACTCAAGGAACCCCACAGAAAATGCCTCTGAAGTCTGATAATGGGACTACTTTCTACATAGTAAATAATTATCCTGTGGAGATAATGGTCACAACATACTTTGGAAGCCAGGAACTTACTAGGAATTTTAAAAAATAGTAGTTATTTATATGAATAATGAAGAGTTCTACAGTCACATTAAGTAGGATAAAATAATTTTCAGCTCTTAGTTTTCACTTATTTTTTGGCTACAGAAAAATAAAACAAACATTCTTCTTTTGCAAAGAACTCAGCAAGACCACAACAGATCAGAATCCTTTTGACACTAGGGATTCCTATTCAAAATCTCTGGTTTACCTTATGAATTGTGTAGATGTTTGCACACCTAACAGTGATAATGTTGTGTAGCATCCCATGGCACCATTATAAGGATCTCAAGGCATTCCAGATTGCATTGGCACCCTGACTGAAAAAAAATCAGTGAACTAGATAATTATGAGTTTGCATAAAATGCTTCTTTTTAGTATTATAATATACGTTTCTTATAAGGTTAAGCATAATTAGTGAACAGTACTCACCAGAATTTTGTACTCCTGATGAATCTCTGTATAAGACAATTTGCTTTCTTCTTCATCATCAAAAACTGGGGAGAAAAAAAACAGACATTTTCTTCTTCAAAATATACATGTCAGCAGTTAAAATAGTACTGAAGACATTGGAATATTAAATAGGGACCTTCAAATTAATTAATTACTAAACTTTACACAGTAAGATTACCTTTTTATATTCCAAAGTAATATTTAAACATAACTCTGTTGTCAAGGAAACATAAGTTATGAGCAGAAATAACATGATCTCATTTTGCTTCAGAGTGGATCTGATTAAATCAAATCAATTTAAATTGTGATTTACACAACTGGTCAGGAATCCTAGATTTAATCATTATTTTTCTACAAAAAGTGCATTCTTGTTGTTTGACATCCTTTAGTCATTTAACTTCTTGAAATTTTGCACTTTTAGAGAAAGGTAAGAGCTTGACTGTATGTACACAAACTTGTAGAAAGATAATAGGGCTGATGGGTGGGTAATCAGGTCTGTTATCTCTCATCTCCATATACTACTGTTAACAAGGATGTTACCTCTGGAGGCAATGAATTCTCCCTGTACCTGAAGAAGGCCATTTGTGCCTGAAAATTTGCACAGAACAATTTTTCCAACTACTCAGTCTCATAAAATATATCACATCTAACCAAAAATCTTGTCTGCCTATGATCTCTGGAGACAAATATACAGTTTGAGAACTAAAACTAGGCAACACAGAGATGCTTAATGGGATTTTCTAAACTTAGCTCTGAGTCTCATTGGATACAGTGGTTTTCCTTAATCTTTACTAATCTTAAGGGGTTCCCAGAGGCTCCTTTGTAGATTGGGCCCCTAATATAGCCCATGGCCTGTTGTCCATCTCCTGTTCCTTCCATTACTTCAGGCTTGTGTGAAAAGCAGATTTAGAAGCCTCTCCCCTTTCCTGCCCTGATTTTCAGTGGTTAAACTGAAAAAGGTCATAGCTTGCTGACTGCGGCCTCAGCTTTGGCCTGTACATCTTCTGTTCACAACTAAGTGGCACAATGGAGATGATTTCTACCTGTGCTGCCATCCCATTATCCAACAGCTGGTGGTCCTTAGGTACATCAGAGGTGATGGAGCTGCTCTGTAGCCACAGCATTTTTCCCTGATCAGGATCCTTCAATTCAGGGAAAAAGAAAAATGTGTCGAGGGCAGGGGAGGAGTAGAATTCCTCATTATCACCCAGCCAATGTTAAAAACTGATCACCTTATATTGTCAAATAACTCACAAGATTTCACAGCTGCACCTTTTTTCAATTATGTGCAGATTCCTTCTCAGACGCAACAAAAGTATGTGAAAAGCCTGTCCTGAACCAAGTGCACAAGAAACAGCATGTGAGCACCTGGCAGATGTTAAGATAATGATGTGATGGTAATCAGAGGAATTTTATGCCCCCTCCCAAACACTGTGGTCCCTGCCATACCAGATGTGCTTGGCAGGAGGCATAATGTTTGGGAGGGGGCATAAAATTCCTCAGATCCCAATCACAGCACTATGGAACTACCCCTGGCCCATCCCTGCAGATCCAGCAGAGGGGTGCGTCTGTCCTAGACCTAGAGCTGTCCCCATTCCCAATCCAGTTCTAAAACCAACAATCAGCTGATTGTCAGTCCTGGCCATGAGACTGCCCAGCTGCATGTATGGTTTCTAGAACTCACAGGACATCAGGGAGCCTCCCCCCATTCCAGGGTCTACATGCCCCAAGACATCTAAAAACTGCCTGTACAGCTCAGCTCCCCACTACCTGACATTTTAAAATACCTTGCTATAGGGTATGGGGTTGCCAAATTCAAGGTAGGGGGAGCCCCCTATTTTTGGCACTGGGACTGGGGATGTCATGGTCCTAATGCTGACCTCTACACCATGCTCATGGTGACAATCAGCTGGATATCAGCATCAGGATGAGGGTACTACACACTCCATTTATGGCACTATACAAACAAGCCATAAAGATATTCCAGGTATTTGTAGAATTTCTTTGCAGCCGGTTTGCCATTTCATGGCACCATAAATTGGCTGAACATGTAGTACTGTTATTATTCATGATACAATTAACATCTTAATCACATCTTTAATGTAACATGTTCAAAGGACCACAGGTAACATACCAGATGAAAATAAGTGTAGAGTAGGCTCAGAAACTCATGTAAACAAGACTGAAACCAATAATCCCTAAACCTTAATGAGATTAGGTCTTCAGTTCACTGAGATGATACTTGATGCAGCCTGGTAAGATGTCATTACCTCTTTTTTTTATTTTGGTTTTGTTTAAAGCACTGGAAAAGTAGGAAGAGAGGAATTTTAAATTGCCTTTGAGATGGTGACATAAGTTCTGCTGCAGCCATGTTTTAGCTTACTCCAGGATGTCCACACAGCTGTGCCCACAAATTGTATGCACACAAAAGATAACTGTTTATATTGCCATCACTTATGTTATTTTTTAATGAGAAATTATTCCCCATTAGAAAAAGATCTATTGGAGAATTAACAATAAAAATGCTCCAAGCAAGAGGACACAGATCAATATCATTGCCCTTATGCAGGTTTTTAACTACCCACAGCTCCCCTTAAGATACAGTAGGTGAATACCAGTTCCATGCTTTTTCAGGGTAAAATATCAGCTCTCGCTCAGAAATACAGTGACTATGCTTATTAAAGAGCACCAAACATCAGAGGTGAAGCAAATATTTCCATGGAAATAACCAAGAACATCTACCTTAACTATCCTAAAGTAAGTAAGGGGAAAAGGGGGAGTAAGTCAGAATGGAATTTAGCAGTAAGATATTAATGAGGTACAAACTGAAACTCAAAAAATGAAGCAAACAATTAGTTTAGAAAGTTCAATATATCTAAATTATACGTTTTTCTGGGCAAGAACGATCACTTATTGTGTGTATGTGTAACTACCCTTAACCACTACTATCAAACACACAATAAAATACAAAAAGTTAAATGGTAAATAAAGACTGTATTTCATATGAACTGATGTTCATAGGGCCCCATTACAGAGAAGGTGGAGAAAAGGGAGTTTGCTTCTTTAAGAGAAAGTGCAGGGTAGGCCAGGCCCCTTTTTCTGAAAATATAAGGCTGCAGCTAACAGCTGGTGAGTTGCTTACAGGATAGCAGAGTGCTTAGGATGGAGCAGAAGCCAGAGCTGGATCTAGGAGAGTGGGGAGCCAACATGAAGCCCACTGAGTGGGAATAGAAGATGCTGAAAGGTAAAGGCCTGACCCCTGTAGGACTGAACCCTGGGAAGGACTAGGAAGCGTAGCCAGCCAGGAACTGTGAACTGTTTGGTTTGCAGGATGGAAAACCTGTAATAGGAGGACTGTTTGGGGATGTGGGGCAGCAACCTGGCAACACAAGGGCTGTTTGAGGGTGCAGCCTGGAACCCCTGTGACATGAAGACTCTCTGTGGAGAGCTGTCCCAACGATGATGGAAAGAGTGAGGCACCTAAGTATCTGCCTCCCAACCTGGACTGAGTGCCCATACTTCATATAAGGCCAAAGTCATGGCAGGCAAGACACTCAGATTTCCAGGTAGTTGGGAGCGTACAGTGGCAGGTGAGTGATGGTGACCCTAAAGGGGCAGCCAAGTCAAAAGGGTTCTATCAACAGAGCCATCACAACTGATGCAAGAAAAACTTCTTGCACGTTTATACACATACTTCTGTCTGCTCCAACACACCGCAAAGAACTCAAGCCATGACAGGACAGGCTGCTTGATGTACCTAGTGGGTCATGGGCTTGAGCCCATCAAGGAAGAACTATAAGCCTCCCTTAGTAGGGAGGCCACTGAAACATATCCACTGAGTTTGGGGGACAGCTAAAAAGAAAACAGGGATTAGAGTGAAGTCATAGGCTGAAAGGCAAGGGACACTGAGCAGCACTCACTGGTCCTCGAACAAATCCAAGGAGCCAAGACAAGAAAGTGACCCTGCAGTCCTCAGGGGTCCTTCTGGCCAGAACCTCCTTCCTGGTCAGGTATATCACTAGGGCAAGGAGGTATATCACTAGGGCAGGGGTTGTTAATTAGGGGTATTTGAGAAAGCCGTAAGGGGTATGCATGGGTGGGCAAGGATGGAGCCACTGCCACGCACCATCCTGCACTGCTGCGCAGGTCCTGCCCACCCAGCCAGATGCCAGGGATGGAGGAAGCTCACACGCAGCAGCTGCCATCTCTCTGCATCTGGCCACGCACTACCCCCCTCGCCCTTCCCCCACTCTGCATCCTGCCACCCGGGGTGCACTGCTCTGCATACCGCCGCTGGGGGTACACTGATCCAAAAAGGTTGAAAACCCCTGCACTAGGGCAAGGAGTCCTGGGACTTGCTGGGGCCACAGATGGGAAGTGTGTAAAAAAAAGTGCAGGGAGTTGTGCAGCAGAAGGCTCTGGAGGAAGCAGTGAAGAGGCTGTGGCCTGGCACTCCAGGTAGGCATGTGCTAGCGCCTCCCTTGCTGGCAGAAGGGACAGGTAGAGAGACCATGAAATGCACCAGATACATATGCTTGTGGCCCTGGCTCCATGGAGAAGCCACCAGTTGAGATCCCCAGTGGCTAGCGGGATCAGAGTAGCACACAAGTTCATCCACTGGGGACTTAGCGTCTGGATGGGATAGGACGATTGAGGGTGCGGAACAGGAGCACGTAGAGCTGGCCGTGATGGGCTAGTACAAAAGCAGACCAGCTTGATACCCCCAGCCTACTGAGACATTGTGGTGGGGGGCCCCACAGGACACAATGCTCTTAGCACTGATTCCTATTTAACACAACATCACAGAAGATGAGGAGTGGGAGGGACTGTGGGAGGTCTAATCTAGCGTTTCTCAACCCATGGGTCATGATGACCCAAAAATGGGTCGTAAGTATATATGAAAGGGTCGCTAACAAACTTTAAAAATGGATTCTATTTTGAAGGAGAAAAATGTGGGAAACACAGCTTTTCCCTCACAGGCTGGCAGAGTTCCAGCCTGCGAAGGACTGCTTGGGGCCCGGGGAAAAGGGATAACAGGTTGGGAGTGAGGGGCACTGGATCAGGACTGGCCATCAATGTTTACCAACAGGTCCTGGTACAAAAAAGGCTGAGAACCACTGGTCTAGTCCAACCCCTGCTCAGAGCCTGACCAGCCCCAACTATCTCATCCCAGCCAGGGCTTTGTCGATCTGCCCAACCTCCCCAGGTAGCAGGTCCCACAGCTTCCCCACCCTCCTGGTGTGAGAGTTTTCCCACCCAGCCCGGCTCTTAGGGTGCTGCTCAGCCCCACCGGATGCCCAGTGTCGCCAGGTGTACGATAATTATCGTATCTGTACAATAATTTCAACCCTTGTACAACGTATGATCAATAATACGAATAGCATCCAAAATGCACAGTCACGTCTGAGGCAGCTCATTGATGCAGCATAGGCAAAACCCAAGTCCCTCTCACAGAGTCTTAACTCACTTTTGGGCTTGTTGGTGGCACTTTCTGACGAGGACTGGCCTCAAAATAAAGAAATGCTTTGACTTAGATGGCCCAGGTCTCAGTCCCTCACCGGGGCTTACAGCAAGCAATACAAAGTACATAAGAAGATTAATTTGCATACTGGTTCGCCTTTTTTTTCCAGTGCAAGACAGTTTTTCAGCTAATATGATCATTTTGAGCTCCCAATACGGTACTCTCCTAGCTAAGCGCGGGCAGCCCGTCGGGCCCAGCCCGGAGGAGTTCCGGGAGCCGCGGCCGCCCGTCCGCCCGCCCGCCCCGTGGCCCCTCACCCGCGCACTTCTGCTCCATGAACTCCAGGACGGGGCCGGACCAAACAGGCCCGCGCAGGAAGGCGGCGAGGCTGTCCACCACCCAGTCCGCCTCTCCCTCCTCCGCCATCGCGTCGCCGCCGCAGCCGCCCTCAGGCGGAGGGGGCGGACAAAGCCCCGGATGCAGCTGCGACGGTTGGGGAGGGGGGCTCGGTCACTATGGCAACCGGCGTCACAGGCTGTGCCAGTGCTCGATGCAACGTTCTGCGGCCGGCGGTTGGGGGCGGAGCTCTCTCCAGTCCCCTCCCCGTCGCCATGGAGACGGGGACGCCATCGCCCCTAGCCCTACCCGGTTCCTCTCTCCTTGCACTGAGCCACCGCGAGACGGGGCGGGGAGAAAGAATGTTGTGACCCCTCCCCCAACAGTGTCCGGCCTGCGGAAGCCCGGGAGGAGCCGCTTCCCCGTCGCCTCCGCGGTCGCCTGCCGGGTGGTGTGCCCGCTGGGGGCGCACGCAGCGACGCGTTCCGAAGGGGGGGATGGGGGGAGAGACGTTAGCAGCGCCCCTCCTCCCGCGCCTCAGCAGAGCAGGGGAAAGCTGCTGCCTTGGTCACGGTGAGGGCTTGGCTCTGGCCACTGCAGAGAGCCCCTCTCTCCCTCGGCATCTTCATCGCTCCCTTTCTATCTTGCCCCAGATTCTTGTAAAATGACCACCGAGAGATGCTTTCTTCCATAACCTCCAGCTTCTTACAGGATCCCTTGCTCAGCCTCAACAAGTTGACCAAGGGTTCCCTGGCAGGTGACCGCATGCTTATTTGCAATTTGGAGTCTAAGCTTGAAGCATTGGTTTGCATAGGAAGCCACCATCTCTTTGTCAGTGGTCGATTGGACAACCATTAAAGTTTAATGACCTTTAGCTAGTAATGTTGGGCCACTTACCTTTTGTATTTTAGCCCAGTTTATTTTAGATTATTTGGGGAGGTCTGCCAGCATAGGTTTGCTGGCAGAAAATCTATTTCTGAGTGCCTACATGAGATACTCACAGCGCATTAGCCTAATAACTGTATAGTAGCATATCACGGCAAAAGCTGTGCTACTAGCCTACTGCGCAGTGTTATTAGGCTAATATGTGTCACTAAATAACCATTTGCCTCGCTACTGCACAGTAACTTGAAGTACTGCGCATTTAGTTAGTACTTTATTCAGGAAGTACTCAATTAAATGTGCAATATCTATAGTGTATTAATGAACATGTAGATGCGCCTTGTATCTCTAATAAGGGGGTTTATAAACAGCCCTGTGTTGGCACGGGTGTGCTCTGTAGTGTAGACAAGCTGATGTACACAGTTCATGCCATGAACTAGAATTCATCAGGTGTACCTAATCATAAACTCCCCAGATTTCTTGCCCCACACAGGTACTGAGTGAGAAGGAAAAGTCAGTGTGCACTAAAACTGCAATTCCATGCCATCAAAACCACAACAAAACTTAGTACACAGACTTGTTTAACAAAAAGCCTTTAACCAAAAGGCCTTCTACCTTCCAGAATACATTGCTGTTAGGCAGTGGTCTGCAACCTTTTCGTGGCAGTGGGTCAGCATGACCTGGCTGGTGGTCCAATGCCAGAATCTGGCTGCTGCCACTTCTCCCTGCTGCCTGGCCACAGTGTGGGCAAAGCTCCCCCCCTGCCCAACTGTGCCTGAGCAAATCTGCCCCACTGCCAAATACTACTAAAGTCCCCCACCCACTCCAGCATAACACCTCTGAAGTACCCTGGGTCCATTAACTGCATCCAATGGCTACTAAAGCCAGATCCAAACTACAGGGGCTGCCAACCTACTGTTTAGAAAATACTCTTCTTGTTGTCCTCTATTGTTAGAACATAGAGGATCCATTCAAATAATTAAAAGTAAACACAGAATGCCCCTCTGTGCGATAACACACACAGTCCAGGGTTTGAGGGAATGGGTCCAAGTGTAGACCCATTTCCAGACCTAATCAATGTTCTTCAGGGCTAAGTACAAACAATCAAAAAGCCCTAGGCTGACTCAATTCAATCTTTGCAGGCTTCTTTAACCTGCCTAATTTGAACCAATAAGCAAGTGAACAGATACTCACTTCTGAAACTGAAAAGGTAGACCCCTGCAGTAGCCCATACCAGTAGCTGGGGGGCAGTAGAGCATGTCTCCAGTCACTGCCAAAGGCACCGGAATCCAGCCAAGCAGGGCTCGTCCTTGACCGGCTGCCCAGCAATCTCATCCCCCTCCGAACCACTGCAAGCCCCACATGTGGGGGGACAGTCCGTCTAGCCCAGGGCTGGCTGGGTCCCAGTGGAAGCAGGGGGTATTCCCTAAGAGGGAAACCGAGAGCAGGCGTTATTAGAAATTCCCCACCTGGTACCTGGGCAAAGCATTTTGGGCCAGTAAGGGCTGGAGAGTTCCCCTGTGTCCTTATAGAGGCAGTGGCAGCAGCCAAATGGCAGAAAAAGCAGGAGCCTTTATTTACGAGCTTCTGCTCTTGCTGCATTGGAGGATGCCCAGGAGCCAGCCATATAACTAGACATCCGGCACAGGTGGAAGGAGAAGAAAGAGTGACACGAGGATGATGCATGGAACTGTGCAGCGGTGAGAGTGAAGCAGACTTGGACCAAGTTCACAAAGGGAGAGCCTCCATAGTTCGGGAGTTTGAGGAGCACCCAGTAACAGGTACCTGATCCCTCGGAGAAGTGATGGGTATAGAAAGCCCCAGGACACTCTGCCCAAGCTGGGTGGAGAAAGTAAGGATTTATCCTCCCTGATCAGGGCATGACATGATTGACAGACAAGTAATCCACAAGGTTGGATGAGTGGGGAGTGGCTGATTCACCAGCAGGAATAATGTTCTGCAGTTAATATCTTCTGGAAGCTGGGCACTTCATTGTGTGAGCAGCCTTAGTCCTTAATTAATTGAAAATATTTTGATTATGCAATGAAATTAATTGAACTAATGCTCAATGAATTGCAGATACTTTCTTGATTTCATTAATTACTGCTCATCATTGACTGCTGAATGAAATTAATTGGACTGATTGATTTCCTTAATGCTTAATGAATTGTGGACCCATTGTTTTGATTTTATCGATTGACATTACTTTGGCTCCACTGATTATTGCTGCTTCTTAACCAACCAGTTAAGTGGGCATTAAGGTAGACTAGCCACTGGTCTGAATTGCCACCATTCATGCCAGAATCATATCAATAACCACAGCAAACCAGCATTGAGACTACAACACCTTGGGGGAAGTAAATTGGACAATGACATATACTCGGTTGGCATATGTGTGAAGGAAGGTGAAATCCCACGTGGAACCTTTGCACGTGTCTAGCACCCAATTCAATCAACGATCAGGAATCTTTCCAGTAATATTTAAGACCAAGGCATGGCAGGTGAAAAGAGGGTCCATTTCAGGGAGTGGGACACGCTGAGGGTCAAGCTGTACAATCCTAAGAGCAGGCACTTTGGGGGCCTGAGCTCTCATTTATTGCAGCACAGTTTGCACCTGCAAGACGGCTCACAGTCCCTCAACCTCATGGAAAGTTCCCTGCCCTTGGCAGGGTCCCCCCAGTCCTGCCCCTGGTGCATAAAAGGGACTCCTTCCCTTGTTACCAGACTTAATATTAGACGAGGGCGGGGGTAGAAAATGCACCCTGCCCTGCACCAGACCCCAGCCAGGTGCTGCCCCCACACAGGGGGAGAGGGAGAAAGCCCGAAGTGGGGGCTTTATTCCCCACTCCTGCTTGAAGCCAGGAGTGATTTCCCCTAGCCATGCCCTCTCCTCAGCCTCTGGGGCAGCTGTGGAAGGTGGTAGAGAAACCCGCCCCCTGGCCCAGCATTGGACCCCTAGCCAGGATCTGCCTGGGAGGCGGGAAAGGAAGCCTGCAGAGGCTTTCCCCACCACCCACCTGAGTCAGGAGCCAAGAACAAGCTGGGAGCTGAGGGCATGGCCAGGGAATTCACCCCTGGCTCCTGGCTGGGTCCCAGCTGAGGAGGATGTGGGGGCTGGGGAAACCCCCTGGCCCAGCACCAGACCCTAGCACCAGACCCTAGCTAGTCCTCCTCTCCACCTGACCCAGGACCCAGGACCTGGGAGCAATCCAGGAGTTAAGGGCATAGCCAGGGGAATTGCCCCTGGCTCCTGGCTGGGGCCCAGCTGAGAAAAAGAAGGGGAATCCCTTGGCCTGGCACCAGACCCCCAACCAGGATCTGCCTGGCATAGGTGGGGAGAAGTCCATGGAGGTTTTTTCCCACCCCCATGTCCAAGCCAGGAGTAGGAGGCATGGCCAGGGGTTCCCAGCTGGGGCCCACCTGGGTCAGCTGAGGAGGAAGGGGGTATGGAAAGTCCCTGGCCAGGCACTAAACCCCCAGATGGGGTCTGCAGATTCCAGCTGGGGGTCCAGTGCCAGGCCAGGGGCTTTCCCCACCCCTCCTCCTCAGCCAGCCCAGCTGGACCCTAGCCAGGAGCCAGGTCTGATTTCCCTGACCATGCCTCCAACTCCTGGCTAGCTCTCAGCTCCCAACTCAGGTGGGGGAGGAAGCCTCCATGGGCTTACCCCCCATCTCCTGTGCCAGGCAGAACCTGGCTAGGGGTCTGGTGCTGGACCAGGGGGTTTCCCCACCCTCTCCTCCATTCCTCTTCAGCCAGCCTGGCCAGGCCCCAGGTAGGAGCCCAGGGTGATTCCCCTGGCCATATTCTGAGCTCCTGGCACCCGCCCTACTCCCAGCTCAGGTAGGTGTGGGAAGCTTCCACAGTTCCTCCCCGCCATGCCTGGCAGACCCCAGCAGGGGTTCCAGTGCTAGGCCAGGGGGGTTCCTCACCCCCCACTTCTAAGCCATCCAGGAGCCCAGGGTGATTCCCTTAGCCACTGCCACAGGTCCTGGCTCAGGCAGGGGAAAAGCTTCTGTGGGCTTCCTCCCCTGTCTCCCCTGTCAGGCAGACCCCAGCTGGGGGTCAGGTGCCAGGGTTTCCCCACCACCACCCCTCTCTCTGCCAGCCAGAGCAGTGATAGTGCTCCAGCTAGGGAGCAGAGGGGAGGGGAGACCCTGCTCCACTGGAGCAGGCAGCACAGGATGCTGGGGGACTGTGAGTTAAATTGAACCATGAGGGGATCTGGGGAGAAGTTCCATAAACTGGTTTGATCTA